AAATTAGTCTCCTTGGAATGATACCCGGCTAGTTAAGTAGCTGTATGAGCGCATACAATTTGTGGCTTTACGAGTTAAAACACTGGCCACACTAGTGTCCTTTGGTTCGTCAGCACACAATACAAACATACATGCACATACACGTACACATACATACACACTTGTTAAATGGATTTCGTATGGCTGGCTGGTTTGCTGACAGTCTTTTAGTTCCTGATTGTCGACTACGTTGCCGTAGCGTTAATTGCGCTTTGGCTAATAAGTATGGTCGGTCAGCAGCAGTAAGGTTATGTAATTCGAGTTGCCGCTTGCATTTGCTAATTGTCACGAAAGCATAGAGTTAAGTGAAGTGAAGTAGGAAGAGGGTATAATACGCTTATGTTGCTAAAGGTGATTTCCAGTGAATGGTGCTGGACAAGGAAGGGAAGGAAGGACTTTTTTGTGCGGCACCTTTGGTTTTAGTGCGGTAAAATTTAATTAGGTTATTAGCCAATAACACACGTTTACAGAAGTAGAAAATTGTTGGACCTGCGAAATTTTTATATAAATTCTTATGTAAAATTTTAGGAAAACTCTCTCACGATGGTGGCTTTGTAAGTCACGCATTCTCACGTTTTCTAATATTTTTTTTTCAATCACGGTAACGCAGCCTCCTTTTTTAATTACGCGCGTTCACACGCGATTTTTCACAAATATTTTTTTTCATTGAAACTTTATTATTATTCAGTGCATAATGTAAAAAGAAAACAATTTACAGAGTTGCCACCTGTTAGAAAATTCCAGTTTCGATAAATGAGGTAAATATTGCAATATGGCTGTCGAAAAGGCTTACTGAGGAAAATATATGTTTTTAAGGTTGCCACCTGTTTGAAAAAAATTATTTATTTAATTGATAAGATAAATTGAATATTGCAATATGAGTAACAAACTGAAGAGGTTTAGGAAAGTTTACTGCCGTAAATATGTTTGAGCGGGGTTGCCATCTGTTTGAAAAATGTTATTCAATTAAATTAATAAAATAAATGAAATATTACAATACGGGTATCAAACAACGCAAAAATACGTTTAAGGCGCAATGAGGCACGCCAGGTTGTTTCTACTTATAAATAATATCGTCGAGCTTATTTAGTTATTTTGCAGCAATTCTAGGCTTAACAGCCTCGAAGAAAGTTAAAAAAAAATAAGAGTGCAACAAAACGCTTGCCTTATGAAAAAGTATATTTCTTGTATCATTTCCGTGGCTCAGGCGCAAGGCCACTGGTTAACCAACACAGTTCCTAAAAAACTAAGAAATATAGAACTAGTTTTTGTACACATATCTATTAACTGCAACTCGTAAGTGAAGCGTTTACATGCACACTCCTACATACTAACTTATGCACATTAGGCATATGACATTTTTTTTATTAAACATACCTGTGAGGAGTGGATGAGAAATGATGAAAAACCAACAAGAATAAAGATTTTGCCAAAATTTGGTACAAAAACGCCTAAAAAAAAGTGTAAAATTTTCGACAAAAAAGTGTCGTATGGGGGCTAACAGACCTCGGAATATAGAGGTTTGCTTCAATATGCAGATACTTTTTTTTTGTAAACCTATACTTCACAGATATGCTGTATTTGTTGCCAACTTCCATTGCCCCTAATATGAGTATTCTATTTGAAAACTTCCTAAAGTTATAAAAAAAAACAATTACGATTTTTTCAAGTGACAACGAAAAAATGAATAACGTCGGTACTTTTTCGCCTAAAAAATGTTTTAATGCTAAAATGGTTCAAATACTGATTTATTTTTTATTCTACTCATTTCTGGAACTGCATTGATTGAAATACATATATGCAAGACGAATGCTTAAGCGTTTTTCTTTTCTGGCAGGAGAAGGAAGTGACACTAAAATAAACAACTCGTGAGATTTAGAGTATTGGTGATATCAACAACACCCCATTTTAAAGTGATATTGTTTACCACTCATTTTCATTTATTTAATTTTGAGAATTGTCAATTAAAATACACTTTACTCTCTAACAAAACCCATTTTGACCCAAGTCAACAACTTTGTAGCAAAAAAAAAACAAATTTCCATACAAATTCCAAATTTTTCTCAGCAATATTAGATTTTTTTTGGGTATGAAATTTTATAGCTTTTTCAGTTTTAGTGCAATAATTAAGTTGTTACAAGGACTTATAATTACCGTTGATTTTTAAGAATTTTTCTTTCGTATTTGCTTCCATATAGCGAATAAACACATTTTTTTTTTAATATAGAAGAAAACCGCAACAGCTTTAGCCACTTTAAACTTGCACATTATTGCACTAAAATTGAAAGGGCTATAAAACTGTATACTCAACAAAAATGTAACACTTCTGAGAAAAAACTTTGAAATTTGGATCAAAATTTTTTGCATTATGTATATAGCTGTGCCATTTTACTTAAGCATATCAACTCGAGATAAGCTATTTTCTCTTTAAAGAAATATTTCATTGGGTTAGCAAACAATACCTCAACGATTAACTAGCAGGTTAACAGGTGTAACGTAATAAAAACATTAAATTTTTCATGCGGAAAATTTTATATTTTCATTCAAAGTAAAACCTTCTAAAGTCACTTAAGTTGTTTTAGCAAAATGCCAAAGATATGTATGTAAAAAAGTCATATGCCTAATGTACATACGTGAGCTAGTTTGCTTCCATTTTTAATTTAGTGCTGGGACGTAGACAATAAACTTTTTTTTTACGTCTTCGCCTTTTGTGCATCTTCTGGTTCACCTTCTATTCGACGCACAATGGCGGTTGATAACGACATACCGACCGAAAGAGATGCCGACAATGAACGTCATATGAGTACTTGAGTACAAAAGTGAATGCAAGTTCCTTAATAGAGGCGACAGTTTTGACACCAAGTGTGTTGTTTTTACTTTTACAAAGAAAAGCTTAAAAAGACAAAAAGTTGTCATATAGTCATAGATACATATATACTATGTACATACATACATACATTGCTTGTCTTGCCTTATTTTTGTTACCACACAAGACACTTGTCGCCGCGAACTTGGCAACTTCAGGTAAACAATGTGTGCCGGTTTGTGTGTGTCTGTGTGCGTATGACTTAGTGAAAGATGCATTTCAGCTGTAGAACAATGCTAGCATAACGAAAAGTTATGTACGTAATACGTATATATGTAGTTAGAGAATATCAGTTTCCCATTAACTTGTTTTTGATTTAATTTAGTAGAGCATTTCAATAAGCTGAGAGATATGTATTTTTCAAACTCAAATAAGACGAAGCTTTAAGTTGGCATGGCACTTTCCGGACGAAAGGGAAATACGGAACACCGCTGAATAGCAATCACACTTAAAGTTAGAACCATTACACCCACTCTAGGACAGATTTTCTGCAGCTACGAAAGGATGCTTACGGATTTGAATGATCTCCTCCCTAGTACGGTTAATCTTGGTAAAGTAATAACCCTGCCTTGTATTGAAAACGACTTAAATGTTCTACAAAATGGTTTAGGAGCCGGCTTCATATTTCCTTGCTTGGGGGAAATTATTATATATATTTATTTATTATATTTTATTTATTATATTTATATATATATTTTATATATTTATTATAATTATAATTTTACCAATAATATCTAATGCCCTCTCGAATATTTCACTCATCGAATTTAGACATTTACCACAGATAAAAACTGGGTAGATCAGCCACACAAGCGCCCACATTAATACTCCACAGAAGTGCCGGCGCTTAAAAAGACGAGCTCATCCCCTTCAAGAATACCCCGAAGGAGACGTTATTGAATGCTATAGGGTTCTAGGGTAGCAAAACATTATCTGATAATTTAAAGTTTATTAGCAGTGTTGCCAGAACTTTTTCAGAGAAAAAAATAAAACTAAAAAAAATTAAATCAAAATTTTAGTTATGGCTAAGAAAATCAAATATTTCTGGTCGTTATTATAACTTCACAATAGTGTTAATTTCTAAGATAAAAGGGATTCGTTATTATAAGGAACAACTTATTTTGTACTTAAGTAAATACCTTTCGTAGCCTCGAAAAATCTAGGCAGCTTAAGACAAAGTTTTGACTACTTCTAATTATTCTGTAAACAGTGACAATTTATTGTGATATTTAGCTCCATCGAGTGAGAACCAAGACTCCATTATCCTCCCCATAAGCTTACTAAAGAGAAAGTACACCCACTCTTTACCCGGTATTAACATCTCGAAGGTATCTTTCCTGGCCAACTTCTCCGAAACGCGATTCTCTGCAATATCAATATGGCCTGGTACCCAAATGAGTCTGACCCGGGGGAAATTCCTTTGCCAAAGTCGAGCAGTTTAACAGACATTCGACTGCTTTCTTAATGCTAGCTCTGCCTGATGCTGGCGCCCGCATGAATGAAACATCCACCGACCATACCGTCAAGCTTCGACCCATCCGTGTAGAAATCCACCGGTGTCGTCCTGCAACTACTGCTTTCCTTTCGGTCAATCCTGAAGCTGATGTGTCGAACAAAAACCAGTCTACCCACGCAGATATCGGATAAAGTCAAAGCTTCATTAAATATTTTAACACAATTTAAATTTGCACTTAGTATTTTGAGCAATAGTAAAAAGCTGAATGATTTTAAGAAAAAAAAGCTAGAAGCAAAATAGGATCTTTTCGACTAAACCCAAATAAAACAAGCTAACTCTAGCCCGAACTTTAAAATTTTCCTTATATATATATAAAATAGTACCCTGAAATGCCAGCTTAATAGGGTCGATCCCCGCCCATTCTGGCTACGCCGATGTATAGAGAGATTGTTTTTGGGCAAGAAAATAAATTTAAAATTAAACTTTCCCGACACCTTTAAAATGTTAAATAATTTTTTATTCTGGATACTATTTTCAATTAAACTCTCGAAGATTTTATGAATTCCATAATAATCATGAATCATGCTATATATTGATTAAGAAAAATAATCTCTTATCTTTTCCATTTTCTTTTTCCAGAAAATGTCTGTTTAGAGATGGCAAAAATTACACGACGTGCCGCTGCCTCGTCGTCATCAACGTTGGCGTCGATAAAATCAACTTCATCATCGGACACTTCAAGGTCAACAACAGCAACAAGTTCTTCCACTTCAAATGCTTCCAAATCGACTGTTAAGGCAAGTGCAACAATAATAAAAACAACAACGAATGCCAATCAAATTATCAATGGCGTTAAGCCAGCACGTTTGGCTGCAACGGATATGTTGGACAAACTGGCCATGCCACTCATTGCATTTACTGATCCTCCTACACTTCGCAAAAATGGCGGCAATGCAGCTCGCGCCAAACAATTTGCGACAAATGGGAATAGCGGCGCCTTACCTAACACGAATACAACGACGACGACTGGGTAAGACAAGTGACAAGCTTACATGTGTGATTGCTTTTAAGCTCGCTTTGAACTTATGATTTTTGTTTTTTTTTTTGTAGTACCGCATTCGTTTATGACGGCACAAATGAGCCCATGCAATATACGGGCAAGGGCCGTTACAATAAAAGTCTGATTGAGCGGCAAATTGAGCAGCAGGAGTTCTATGCCACCTACGACGTGATGACTGGTGTACGAATTGCCGCGACGCTGAGTGGATTTTTCGGCTTTTTGGTATTTCTTATAGTTTGGAAGAGTCGCAGCAGTTCCAATGAGACAATGAAAGTGCTGAAGGTAAGTTGCCTCTTCCTAGGCATCTCCTTGCCTTGCTTTTCTTACTTTCGCATAATGAAGGCTATGCCACTTATTTTCCCCCCGAATGCATTTTCAGGATCCCAAAATGGCTGCTGTAGCCGCCGTCTGCATGCAAGAGGAAGAGGAGCGTGAAATTCAGGAGGCCATGGTTGCAACTGGCATGTCGATATACCCGGATGAATACGATGCTATTATCTATCGGCGACAACGATTGCTATCCTTGGGCAATGTCAGCGCGCCACCAATGTTAAATCGGGGATATCGCTTTTCCTCAGTGGGTAAGTGTATTTATTGCTGGTAAATAAATGGCATTTGCATTGGCGACTAATTCGCAGAAGATATTCCTGCTTATGAAACTATAGGTGGTGGTGGCTACAGCAGCCTGCTGGAGCCACCTCGACGATTTTCTTATTCGGCAACTTCTGGCGTGGGCAGCTTTACCGCAGGGCGCCGGAAAAGTGGCTCCGAGTCGTCACGTATTCTAAGTAACTATCCGATGGGCAGCAGTTTCGGGAATGAAGATTACTTTATTGAAACAGAAGACGAACTCGAGTGCACCGACTACCCGCGTAGTGGGACACGGCTCGACGAACTTGCTGACATGCCGAAACGCACCGATTCAACGAAAAGTAAACGTGGGTTTCTGGAGGTACCGCCTGCGGTAAGTTTCCCGCTTCCCTGTACGTTAATCATGAATATATTAATATTCTTCTATACTCAACTAAAGGGTCAGGACTCGCGACGTAGCAGCGCCATGACATGTTGCAGTACTGAAAGCTCATACTTGGAACGACGCTGTTCAGCGTTCACCTTAGGTTTGGGCAACTTGCCGCCGACACTTCAACGAAAGCTATCAACAACCTCACGTGCATCGAGTACTGATAATTGGGACTACTACTATCCGGATATACAGGTCATACAGCCCACACCGAAACCATCCCCTTGTCCGTCGGAGCGCAGTCTCTACGAACAATTGCAGGCGCACGCGAACGGCACTGTGACCACGTGCGGAAAAGTGTCTGAGAGGGACGCACAGCCACAGTCACAGCCACAGCCATCAAAAACATCCGTGGCTACCATCACCACTCATAGCAAAACTGGCACTACAAATACGGTGATAAGTGCTGATCGAAAAGTAGCGAACGCACACACCGAGGCACAGAAGTTTGTACGCAAACACAGCATAGCCTACTACGATCCGGAAAGCGCGCAAGCCGGGCGCAAACAAGAAATTCACTCAATCAGCGCCGATACGGTGGACATATATCCCTACAATCAACACCTTTTCGAAAACAGAGGTTTGATTGGTTTCAGTGATGCCGGATCGGTGTTCAAGTCAGGGCCACAACCAGCGACGCCCTCCACTAGCGCTGCCTACGGACATCATTACACCGACTCGCCTACGGAGGATTCCCGTGGCAGCTTGCGCGGAAAGGTTGCAATAATCGAGTTGCAACGGCTCGCCTACCCGACCGAGCAGATGACGCCGCCATCAATGCAAGAGCACAATAACAATAGCTTTCCATATACTAGTTCCGCTGCCGCCATAGCAGCCGCTACCGCTGCAGCAGTTGTTACCGCCAACTCCAGCAGCATAAGCGTCGATAGCACGCCCATCAGCTTGGGCAAACTAAATGGCAGTGGCAGCTTGGGCACCATATCAGCGAAAGCGCTCTTCAATGTAGAAAAACGCGCGCCGCTCGCCTCTCTTAGTTCCTTCAAAATCTCGTCACTAGAGTATCAAGACTCCGAAGCCCGCTCAGTAGACGAGGACTCCGTGTTCCTGGATAGTGTAGCCGACACAGATGAGGATATGCAGCAATTGAGCAGCGACAGCGAGGAGGTCAGTTTCGGCGAACACGATCCGAATAGCATGCGCGAAAATGTAGCGCTCGTACCGATGCAAAGTGGGGGTGGTGGCGGCGGCAGCTCCAATGAAGCTTCAGTAGCTGTACATCCCGCATCGCAACCACTCAAGTATCCCATCGAAAAGCGCTATAGCCTGGGCGCTGGATCGAGTGTGGCTGGTACGAAGCTAGCACGCGCGCGTCGCCCACTTCTACAACGCCACCGCACAATCAGCGTTTCTTCCAGTGATCGTGTAGCGCTGATCGGACATCAGCTAAGGGAGTTTCCCCACACAGGCAGCGGCAGCCAGACGCCGACCACAATCGCTGAATCGGTGCCACTCGAGACGCATTTTGGTTCGTTTATTTGCACAAGCCTTTCGCCAACACATCCACGCCGCGCGCAACTACTGCAACAGTACAGCGATCCACATAGTATGCCAACCACTACGACAACCACAGAAGATGATACCTGCTCTACTTTGAATACTGAACTTTGTGGTGGTGGCGCACAAGGACCCAGCGGTAGTGGCAGTGGTGGTGGCGGTGGCGGAGGTGGCGGTGGCTCTGCAACACTAACCGAACACAGCAGCTTAAATACGGTAGTCAGCTTCGGTCGCTCAAGTCCGCTTACGGACAATAATCAGACGAGCTGTAGCCTTAGCGTTGGCGCAAGCGCTGCCGCAACCGCAGCCACTGCCACTCAGCGCTATGCTATAGAAACCCAGAAGGCCTCGAAAAATCAAACGAATACAACACAACCACAACTGCCATGCTCCAGACTCTATGATGACCCTTGTGCCTCCTCGGTCTCAGACTCGATGCTCATCACTACAACAACGCGACAGCCAATTATTTGCATGCCCGCATCACTGAAAAATCTCATCCTACGCGGCGCTGGATCCGGCTCTGGAAACGTCACTGCTACCGGCACTAGCTCTACAGCTACAACTGAAAGGCCGTCAGACTCTCCCAACGTTTTGGTGAGTAGAAGTGCTACCAATTTGAGCTTGCTAGACCCCAATGCCCGCAGTGGCGAAGAGGAAACTTGCCGCTCGGTTATGCTGGAACTGCCTCTTATAAAGTTACCTACCGATGAGAGTTCAGACAGTTCATCGGCATCGGAGGATGTTGAACGTGCGCGTAGTAAAAGTGACGAATCACGCGAACCCAGCATGGCGGGTAACAATCGGAAATGGTCGAAGGAGACGCTGTTCTAGCTAGGATCGAAATCACAAAGTTTGATCTTTAAAATGGGCTGAGCGAACAGGGATCAGGGATGGAACACTTTACGAAAACGAAAGTTCTAACTATTGATAATGCTCAAAAGCTCGGGTGTTAGATCAAAAATGAGATGAAGTAAAGATATGGCATCTTGATTGAACTCTTCGCCTGTCCGGTTATGGAATTGCATTTGCTGTTGTGACACAAAGTTGGCACAAAAACTTTTTACAGGAGCTTAGTACGTACTAGATTCTCATTACGAAAACGATCAGAAAAAGAACTAATTATAATTGCAATGTAAGAGATTAGCGTAGAGTTTAAATTGAAAATAAATATTTACATTTGTAAGTGAAAAAGAAAAATAAAAAAGAACACAAACAATACAAACAAAAAAAAACGGGTGAACTTAATAGCATTTCGTGAGCAATTTATGCGATTCAAATTGTTATTTGTATTTGGTAAAAAATAATTACAAAAAAAGTATACTTAACGATGGATTATCAAAAACCATATACAAGAAATAAATAATAAGTAAATAATTCACTAGCTTTAAAGATTACGTTACAAAAAGAAATGACATGTCAACTGAAAGAGGGTAAATGCGAATTTTATTAAAATCGAACTGGCCATTAATTTAGCCAAAAATCAATGAGTAATACCAAGGACCTGATAAGCTGATAAGCTGGCCAAAATTTTACATACATTGTATTAGAGGTCAGAGAGAATTGTGTTTCAAGAACGCCTCAAAGAATCTTAAATATCTGAAGATCCTGTTATCATCGAAATAAACTTTCTGATTTATCGTAGAAGAAACTCATTTGCATATTTTCCCTTCATATGATTAATTTAAGTAAAAAAAAAATTGTGCGGAATTAATAGAAACTTTTTATACTATAATATTGACACCCCTTTTTTAATTGAGTAATAGATGCCTTCTTAACCCCAAAAATCTGCTGCCATTATTTTTCCGACGGGTTGTGGCACCCCAAGAGTTCTTTAGGAGCTCTGTACTTTTTCTGCTACTACATGGAATCTTGCTTCGACTCAGCTGCATATCGATGAACATATGTAAGTATCTTCTTCGTCTTTGAGCTGCACACATTCAAAAATTTCCACGAAGGCTCGGCGCGCTGTTGCTTCGCGAGTGGTGAGAGTATTCTTGTCAGGCGCCTGGACTACACTGTCTCACCCCCTTGGACTGAGGGGGAGGATTCACCGCTGATCTCGCACTCTGATTCACCAGCCATCTATACTGATGGCTCCGACTTAGAATCTATGCAGGAAATCGGGTATATCTGCATGAACACTCACTTAGGCACAGTTTCCGTCTGCAAGACCTCTGCAGAGTTTTTGACGCTGAACTAGCAGCAACTTAAGAAGCTGCAAGATGACTGATCGCTTCTTCTCTTAATTTGCTAAACAAGCTCAAAAGTAGTTATCTCCTTCATGTTGTATGGGTGCGAGGCTATAAAGGACATATCGGGCAATCCCACGCTATTGGAATGGGTATACAGTCAAACGATTACTACTGTCGTAGCTGACGTGTGTGTAGGCTTGGCTGTCACTACAGACACGCAATCTCCTGCTTCTCCACCCACTTTACACAAACTAGTTCATGGCCTTGAGGATGGCAAATACCTCAGCTTGAAACAACGAGGCATGTTCCTCTAGTTAAGTGAACATTTTTTCGTCCTTACTACCGATGTGGACTCCAGATCCTGACCCTGCGTCAATTTTAAAGCCAGCTGTTTAGATTCCACAATGTGTAAGCTCGAACCCTGTATTGGGGTTAAGTCCTCGAAGGCAACGGTGACATACTATCCTGTGGCATTCAAAAGACATTGAAGTCCAAATATCTGCCTTCAGTAATTTCCTGTAAGACTACAGGTGTGCTTAAGCGCCTCCCCCCGGATAAAAATATTAAGTGGCGGTAGGTTAAGCAGCCCCAGATGTTGTAGGAAAAGCTTGAGGTGTAAAACCGCAGTACTCTTCTAGGTGACTGACCCTACTTTTTATTAAAGACCTGTTTACATTGCCCGAATGCTGGGACGGCTTTGGAAGTACTTTGTTCAACGTGAAGCTTCCATAAAACTTTATTATCTGCGACTAAACCTGAATATTTTACTTCGGAAGTAATCTAAATAGTGACTCATTTAAGGCAGCGGGAACGAGGCCGTCCAAACTTCTCATTCTAGTGAGACAGGCCACATCTTATACATAGCCCAGGCATGGATTGTAGACCCGTCAAGTTTAACTTGCAGGTCTGTATTTATGTACTTAATCGTACTACATCCCACACCATTTCATATCGCATACGCCGAAGGTCTCTATGGAGTTTTCTTCTCGCGACTTAAGGGTCCGTGACACAGAGATGCTTTTTTGCTGACATCTGTGATTTTGAACTGATAAAGGACAAATGCGGCAAAACAACAATCTGCTGATTCAAACCAGCTGATTTTTAACCAATCAAATTTAGACGTTTTGTCTGCGGCAACGTTTTCATTGTGCCGTCTCGCCATGTTCTGTGCAAAAGCATCCCTGCGACGCTGAAAATATTTCCTATCTGTCGGGGCCGCCTTTATTCTGTCCAGATAGAACTCCGAAAACTACTATAAAAAAAGTAGGACAACCAGTTTTTTACTACAAATAAAAAAATTTTCGTAAATTTCACAGATTTTTTCAATACATGTTAAAAAAAATTTAGCAGCCATAAAACAAAAAAAGAACTAAAACTATGAAGAAAAACAAAAAAAAAAATGCAACAACTTTAGGGACTATCTTAGTATGTATGTAGTTATAACTTCACTAACTATAAAACTGCTAGATGTATATCAATGTACTATACATTTTATTTTCATCTTTGATTTAACGATAAAAAATAAATATAATAAAGTTTCAGAAAAAATTGCAAAATACTAAAAAACATACAAGAATTGTGTGCCTCAAAAGTTGAAAAACGCACATTTTTCGAGAGGTTTCAGTTGATTTCCTGTTTTAAGAATAAAACAACAACAAATGTTTTAGTTTTTCTCTCTTCATAGCAGGCACTTGGTGCAAAAATAAAACAAACAAACAAAAATTCAAAAAAAAAAAAGTAGCTGTATCATATTTACGATTAGAAATAATTAGGACTTCTCTCCATGCCTTCCTTCAAACCCACCCAAAGTGCATATAGTACATACCTGACAATTAGAACCGTTACATAGAGACATGCATATGCATGTTTGTAAGACATAATACTCGTATTAGATATGTATGAATGTAGGTAAACTAAATTAGTAGAAACTGCACGAAACCCAAAAATAAAAAATGACGAACAAAAAAATTTTAATAAAATTGTAAATTGTATAATGAAAAAAAAAAATAAAAATTAAATTATTATAATAAAGCCTGAATTGTATAAAATCAGTAACAATGTATTCGTATGCACTTGCGCGCCATCCAAATTAATTACATACCTACAAATATATATACATAAACATGTACATTAGGGTGGTAAAAAAATGCAAAGCTTTTGTTATTTTTCTGCTGCTATCACCCAGAACTGAAGAATATCGAATATAAAGAGGCCCGTATTTTTTAATTTTGAAATCAGTTGGTATTTATCAGTGGCGCGACCCAGTGGTGCAAATGGATCCTAAAATTTTTGAAAGCCAAATTTATTTATTTTTTGAAAGATGACAAAATATTAAGAGTTTGAGGAGCTACTTTTCTTAATTTTTTTTGGTTTTTGTAATTAAAGGTTTTGATTAAAGAAAAAAAATTCATCGTAAAAATTTCTAATATCTGGAGAGTTCGTGAACCTATCAAACCAAGTGGTGTGTCAAATAAAAGGGAATTGAATTTGATTTATTTTGCTGATATTACAATTTTCATTAAAATTACACGTTTACGAGATACTTATATATTTGCACGTATTAAAAAATACTTCTTTTTTTTTGCAAAATTTGGAAAAAATTTCAATTGTGTATTGTAAAAAACACATTATAGGAAAACGACGTATGCAATTTGTTGTTGCTCATTTCGCAAAAATAATTTATTTACAAAAAATACAATACATTTAGCCTTGGAGTCAAGCAAAACTGTATTTTTATTTTAATTTTGAAAAAACGACCATTTCACAATTCGGTTCAAAGCGCCCTTATATTAACATATTTTCAGTTAAGATATTCTTCAATTCTGGGGATGGCTGCAAAAAAAAATGCTGGCCCACGCCAAATGTACATACATTTTTGCATATACACACAGTACTTGTTGGCTGAAGACACACTTCAATGTATGTATGTATGTGCTGTAATTGTGCTGTTTACTGTAAAGTAGTTAGCGTACTTTAAACTTTGTGTAGACTTATTTTCCTAAAGTTTAACCCACCTACTACATACATACATACATAGTGGCATAGAAACACAATTGCAAGAACAGGCATCGATACCAACATACAAAAATATACACACAAAAAATTAGATTTCGTGAAAAAATCTATCATATTTTTCTATGAAATTTCATAAACTCAACATACTATATATAAAGCCCACACACATACATATTAAACGCATAAATCCTTAGATTATTGGTCATACTTGTATGTATACTTGTAATATGTAGAAAATACTATTTGATATATGTATCTAAAAAGTTAATGGGCTAAACATACATATGTATTAGCGTGGGCCGAAAATCCGCTTTTTTTAGAATTTTGATTGGTAATAGCAAAAATATGGTTCATTATTATTATTATTATTACGCTCTTAAAAACAATCTGTATGAAAGATGAAAATTTTTGGTCAATATCTTAGGCCATCAAAGTTCAAGTGCTAAACAAATTTTTTTTAGCTTTCTTCGACCAAAAATTTTCATCTTACATACAGATTGTTTTTAGAGCTTAATGAACCATATTTTTGTTATTCCCAATCAAAATTCTTAAAAAAGCGGATTTTCGGCCCACGCTACTATGTATGTATGTTTGTCGTCCTTAGAGCCAAAACACTGGTACCTTCATGCTAAGAATACAAAATTGAAAAAAATACATACATATAAAAATTAGAGATTCAAAATCTAAAACAAATGCGTGAAATATCTTAATCAGCCTCATTGCGAGAGTCGCGTCGAGTCCAAGTCGTTTTTCGAGAATCGCATCGTATCGAAAATTTCACGTCATTGCCTAAAATTTCCATTCGACTAGTGTATTAAAACGATTATCAAATTAAATTAGATTTTTTCAACAGATGGCAACCCTTTTCTCAAACTACAACCACCTTTCGTTTGACACCCACATTGCTGTACATATTTCAACTAACTAAATCCTTTTATTAAAGTTGAGTTGGATTTTTTAAACAAGTGGCACCCCACCTTACAAATGAAGCCTTTCCCAAACCATTTCGACTGATACCCATACTGAAATAATTCGTTAAGCTTATTAAATAATTTTAAACTTTTTGAACAGGTGGCAATCACTTGCCAGATATTTTCAAACTACAACCTTCTTGAACTTCTTTCATATTACACCCATGCATGTGATGCATACAGTGGTCGAACAAATTATAGCGGCACCACATTTGGACAAGTTTTCACATATTATTTACTTTTTTCTTCTTATTTAGTTTTGGTTATTTTTTTATATGAATATAGTTTATTCTTTAAGAAACCCCGTGTAAATCCAATTTTCAAACTTTGTGCAATATTAAAAAAAAAATCAATAAACTTTCATAACAATTTCGAGCTCTTTTAATTAGATTTCCTAGTACATATTTACACAAATTTGGTAACTTTATATTGTGATATATAAAAGCAAATAAATACACGTTATGAGACAATTGGAAATGTAAGTCTC